TTCTTGATCAGGAGCTGTCACGTGCACAATTTCCAAAGTTATTTGTTTATTTTGATTGCCAACTTCTATCGATGTGCCAATAGCTGATTAACGGGTATGTGAGGATTTCCTATAGGACTACAGCTTTCTGTCTTGTTTTTCCCTGTGTATGTTGCTAGATATGCTTCTGTGCAGTTGCGTTTGCCTCTTGGGGGTGGTACTTTTCCGTCCAGCGTGGGGCAGGACCCCGCGCCCACGCGAACAGCCTTGACATTTGGTTTCGTATTCCCCAACTGCAATCTGCACTGCCGCGCCAACATTTCGGAGATGATGAAAGTTTCGAATCCGAATGAAATTCCATGGGAGAGCTTCGTCTCTTTCGCGTGAGTCAACAACGTTAAGTGCGAGCGAGAGGAGGCTAGCGGGCAGGATGCAGCTGCCGAGTCAGGCGGATACAAAAACGAAAATTGTTGTTAATGTTTCGCTGCGACGCAATTTCGGCGGAACGGCGAAGAAGAATTTTGTTTGGTTTTCCCAATTTTCCCCTTTGTTTCCTTGCCTTTCCCCGCACCGCACCACACACACACAGATCAAAGTCAAGTGTCAAAGACAAGCGAATTGTTGTTTTTCGCAAGAGCAAAGCAGCAAAAATAATCAACCACTCACACACACACACGAGCACGGGTACATGCACACGTACATATTTTGGCTGCGCAAACTTTTCCACTACATACAGACGTGGAGCACACTCATATGTGCGCCCGTGTGTTTGCTTATATGTATTAGGCAGCCCCCAGGTTTCTTTTCTCCAACATTTTTTCGCACCGCGGAACACGAATCCGAAAAATCAGACGATTGTGTGTACTTTGAGACTCGATCCTCGTTTTCCTGCTTTCCTTTGCTTTCGCCCATCTCTGTTTTGTTTTTTTTTTCGCATTCGACTCCATTCCTTAGTTTCTTCTCACCTTTTAAAATCTCTCATAAGACGTCTGCGTGCGGGTGTTGACATGTTTCACAACGATACTACCACTCGTGTTGTGTTGGATGGGAACTCGGACGCCTTGGCGATGCGCTGCGGTTAGCAAACGGAAACGATGAAATTTTGTAATTTATTTTTAATTGAGGACAACTCGGGCAGCAGTGGTATAGAGCTGGAACAAAAATCGATGTTTTCCCGATACTATCGCTTAGAGCTGGAGCAGAAATCGATGCCAGCTCGATACCATCGCCTAGAGCTGCCACCCAGCCAGCACGCAATCGAGAATAAGAGTATGGGGTTGCCAGACCATTGCGACGGCAAATACATTTCCTATTTATATATTTTTAAAACCGCACGCACGCCTTTTTTCTGAGAAAGGGGTATCTGCTAGTCGAGAAACTCTCTCAGGTATCTTTGTCAAGAGATGGTTTCCTTTTTCCATTCAATTTCAAATCTGTCAGCATAAATTTCTAAAGTTTATTGATTATTTAAGCACTAATTATAGCAAATCGAGTGTATCACAAGCTTAGATTTAGCCTAATTACAGTTGGCTACAGGATTAGACGGGGAAAAGCTCGCTGTAGGTGAAGTTCTCCAGGATTTTGGTCGTGATGACCAGAAATTTGGCCTCCAGAGCGCGGGCAATCGGTGCAATCAAGTCGTTGGTGAAGACCTCGAAGTTTTGGTTGATCGTGTCATTGATGACATCGCCCAGAACTTTATCTCCATTAAAGAGGTTCTCCAGCTTCAGGTTTCCCTTGCCAGTGCGGATTTTTAAGGCGAACTCCTTGACATGCAGGTATTCCAGATCATTAACGCTCTTAATGTCGTATTGGACACGCACATAAGCCACGAAGTTGGTGAAGTTGCCAGTGAATGGTCCACTGCCCTTAATAGGTAGTGCCAGAATGTTGCCGTTGATCTCGTAGAGCCCATCTCCATGGAGATGGGGGAGAATCAACTCGAAATCAAAGCGGCGGTTTTGGGTGGAAGCCCGCAGCTTGGTTATTTCAAAGTTGGAGGCGCCCAGGATGTTCAGCTTTTTGGCCTTAACTGTGAGTCCAGCGGAGCCATCCAGAATGCTCAGATCTCCAATGTAGAGGGGTTCTAGCGGCGGTACGTTCAATTCCTTGATGCCCTTGGCCAGGTAGGGGCGCAAGTTGTGAACACTGCTCTTCAGGCACTTTGACAGCTCGGGTTCATTGCGATGGCACACCTGGATGTAGTCAGCTAAGGGACAAACTTGATAAGTAACCAGGAAATACGAGTAAGTTGCCTTCTTTACTTACGCATATTGCCAGCTGAGATGCATGCTACAAAACAGATCAACAGGGAGGCTACGGTGAGTTGCAACTGCATTTTGCTCAATTGATTTCTGTAAAAAAGGTTTACTATTAAGCAGAGATATACATTTTATTGACGTCAAAGTTCGTCAGCAGGCGTTCATTAACCACCAGGTCCACCCCTAAAATGATCCACCACCCATACCTATTATCATCTGAAGTGGTTGATTGTAGGCATTACGAAGCTGGGACTCAGTCTAATAAATGGGAGGATCTCCAGAATGCTCAATTACTGTCATTTGCTACCTGTTTTGTTGTCAAGACTGTAATTGAATTTGATTGGGGCCTAATAGGTTTTGTGTTTGAGCGTAGGGCTATAAATAATGCTAAGGAGTATTCAGCTATTAAACTGGAATACCTTTGGTAAGCCCCATGAATACAATAATGTGGGTCATTTTGCTCTAATGAATAATTTTAAATTTTTGTGATTGAGCGTAGGGTTATAAATAATGCTAAGGAGTATTCTAGCTATTGAACTGGAATACGTTTGGTAAACCCTATTAATACCTTAAAGTGGGTCATTTTGCTCTAATGAATAATTTTAAATTGCTGGGTCTGGGTTCCTCGAATAAATTATATCTGAAAGATACACCTATTTGTACAGTATTATTGATAATAAATACATGGACGATATAATAACCAACGGAAAACTATTTTTATCGTAGAGCTTAGCACTATTTTTCTCGTCCATGAAATACTCTCAATTAAATAAAAGGTCACTTAAAAACGTAAAAAAAATGTATTTAAATTAATTTGATTGGTATTAGACTGTTTATATTTTATCGACACTATTTATGGATACTGGTAAACCTTTCGCTAAATCCTTAATAGATTTTCTAAATGGTTTACCCAATTAGGAATTAGGGATGATTTCGCGTTCCCGAGTTATAGAGGATTCACCATTATTAACCAACCGACGTTAAACTTACACAATTCAGAAGAGATTTCAATTGTATTCGCAATTATTTGTTTTGGCACTGATTTGTTATTTTTTTAAATCAGTCGAAGGCTTTTTAACGTTCTCGAGCTGTCGAAGTCAGGTGTTGTTTTAGTAACCGTCAACGGATTGTACTGAATGCTAAATTGTTGAGACCGGCGTGTTTTATAGCAAAAATTACGCTACGATTTACATGAGAGCTTGGCCAAGCTGTAGATTGGAAAACACACGACGTAGAACTCGCCGGCCCCTGCCACGCCCCTCGACGCCCCCTCCCCCATAAATCGACAGGTAAGCTCGAGCAACTAGAAAGAGATGGCCAACTGTTTGTAGAGAGAGAGAGCAACAGAGAGAGAGCGAGCAAGACGCTAAGCAGCTACAGCTTAATAATTATAATAAAGGTTGTGGGTTCCATTAATGTATTTCGGCGACCAGCCCAAGCACAAACGCTTACGGAGTCAGTCGACCGGGAAAATTGCCAGTTGGCCGGGAAAATGCAGACCGCAGGTCAAGCCGGAAATGGAGACCAGTATCTCCCAGATCTGGTCAGATCCCAGTGGATCTCCCAGAATCCGCACTGGGAAAAAAGCCGATTGAGGGTGCAAGTCGCTACTTCGGCCTATGTGGTTTTGTCGTCAAAGCAAATCTCCCAAATTTCTCCTGGTTTGTCGACAGGACTCATTTAAATACTTCATTTTCCTATATGCATATGCAAACTTGCACTAGATATCTAGCTGGCAATCTGAACATTTTGAGAGGTTTTCTTCCGAGTGTGGGGTCGCAGTTAGCGAGGGGTGAGAGGTCGGAACGTGGGGCAGGGGCCAGGAAGATCGTTCTAGTCGCTACCGTGCCTGACGTAATTACGCCACGCGAACATCTTAGATGGGGAGTCGTGTGTTGACAACCTGTTAACTCTGAAAATTGTGCTGGCGGATTGCATAATGGCGATCGCCTGGCGAAAAGCTTTCCCTGTCTTCAGTTCTGTGAGGAAAGCGGTGGCTGGCTGCCTATGACACGGTTCGATGGGGATGCTGATTGCGGTGGAAAATTGTGGAGGAGCACGCAACTCAGAGATCATCTCCCAGCCTTATCCCAGTGATAGCTGCGTTAGATAAGTGCGGAGTGCTGAGATGTTTGTTGCTCATTCATAGTTTATTATTCAATCGGATGTGGTAAGCTTCGCGTTGGACATGGAGATTTGTACTGCCAGGCATTTGGGTATTCAGCACGTGTAGGCGTTTTGATGGATAATCGAGGGGGACTGTAAGTTAAGTTTGCATAACACTTCAATCCAAGGGGAAGAATTGAGAATGCATTCGTGGTTAGTCAGATGGCATAGCTAAAAGATATTTATTGATATCTACTGTTTAGTTTTATAATCACTCGACCATTAGTATCTCGGTCTTTTTGTAAAAGAGATGCTGGTATGTTTCCTAGCGGTGATTACATTATTGCCCAAAACCTTTCAATGAATAGTCCGGTTCGATCCATTCGGCTTTAGATAAATATGAATTTGCAAAAAATATGCCTATTCAACGTCGTTACCGCCAAGTAACAGGTGTGAAAACCCATACTGGACACCTCCCGTTTCCTTCGAAACCTTTACCCAGATTCTTATTAATGCATCCAAAGACCTTAAAACTTAACGGGCGAGGCCAATTAAGGTCGACATAGTAGTAACTCAGATATCCCTGCCATTGCTGCACTGATGACTTTGGGGATGTGACTTGAGTTGCGCATGTGTCATTCAAAGAAGGAGCCATCATCTTTACTTGTTATATTTCGCGGAATTGTGTGCAATAAATTAGGACTTAGACTAGGGAAACTACATTCTAATTTAGGTTGATCCACTCGTCCAGTGGGATCTTCGCGAAAATGCGATCCATGAAGTTGCGGATGACCAGAGTAAGTTTGGTCCTGAGCGCCGGCTTCATTTCCTTGAGCAGCTCCTGGGAGTTGGAGTTGATGAACAGGTTGAGAGCAGCCTCTGTGGAGGAAAGTATTTTATCTTGATAATGCTGATATATCGACTACTGCTACGTACGTATCACCGAGTTGCCATTGGCGATGTTGTCCACGCCCATTTGGATCTCCTTCACGTTGAAGTCCATCTTCACGGAGTCCGTCGTCAGGTAGGTGCGGCCGTCGGGACCCTCATTGGCCACCGCCTTGAAGTAGATCTTGGCCTTCACTCCCTCTGCGTGATCGAGAGTCGTTAGTCGATGGAGTGCGTCATCCCAACCCAGAAACCCGGTACCCACCGTACTCCCCCCAGTAGTCGCCGGCTCCGGAGGCCTTCACCAAGATCAGAACACCTGTGGACCGGTACTGCGCCTTGACGCGAATGCGGGGTATTTCGCACGTCAGCTGGAACTGCAGCGAGTCCAAGTCGGAGCTGCAAAAAGACAAGTTGAGATATGGATATTAATGGACGCCTCTAATGGCAATGACAGTGACAATCTGCGAAGTAATGAGCTTAGCGAAAAATGCCTTTTCATTGGTTTCATGCGAAGATGAGCCGACTATTTTGTCGTACTTTTCAGCCTTGGAGCTCTCTTAAGTCCTATATTCGATACCAAAGAGATCCGAGTGAATGGGCTAGACCAGTAGGGCTTCGTGGACTTCTCGATGTCCAAATCGAAATCGATACGAGAACCAGCGATTTCCGACACCAAATTCCTTCTACCCTTCCATTAAAAGTTGCCAAGACTTAAAAACTTAGGTATCCCAAGATCCAATAATGGAATGCATGTGCGTACGAAACACAATTGCAAAATATTTGAAGACTATTAATGGAGTCTCGAGCAGATTGCAGGAATCCATTCGAGTACCCTAAGTCAGGGTAAGTGACCATAGAAAACGAAACCTATACTGAAACCGGCCCAAACAATGCTCTCCACTTAGAGAATCTAGCGTTGGCACACTTTTCCAGCTCGTTTCTTGGTCAACGATCTGCGGGCCAGTCGTCTTTGCCCGCGCCGTGTTTATGTCTCTGCCACTCGGATTCTTTTATTTTCGCCAATGGAGAGCCAAGTGTCTATAGCCAGATTGATGGTCGCCGGCTTAACGGCTGCTGTAGTTGCTATTGTCGGCGGAGCTGGCGTTCCAAATACCGGGAAGCATAGCTGCAGTGTTCTTGGCTTTGGGTGTTGCATAATGCGGGGCACTTAAAAATCAGAGGCCACCGAGGAGAGTGGGTCAACTTGTTAGAGAGTAGCCTCTCTTGTGTGTGGGAAACGTGGGTTACGCTTGGATGGTTTAAATGCAGACCTAAGCCAGTTTGTAAGATATAATCTATAAACATTTTACAAACATTTTAATTGCTGTTGGCATTTGTCTAATTGTGCTTCTTATGAAACCGAGAAACCTATGGTGGAGTGAAGAGTATTTGCACAAGTAATACGAGTAGCTGAAAATACTTCTATTAGTTAGCACGAATCAAATTTCCCGACCCATGGCAGCTTCTGTGTGAATTTCCCCACTCTAAACTATATGAATAACCAATCACCATGGACAACGAATTTCCAGCGAACCATTTTAATCGAATAACACATCTCACCTTTTCCAGATAAGCCACGAGCCCAGTTCCCTGACTTCTCATTTAGGCCCAGAATAAGTGGAATCAGCTAGAGTGGGCGAACACCTTGTCGCGAATGATTACGCGTCTAAAATATACTTTAATAAAAAACCCGCGCAAATGCAAATTTGTCTGGACAAACATAAGTGCTCATGCAAATCGGTGATTGCTCAATCGATTTCCCATCGTGTGCCAAACGTTTTGTCCATAAATCAAGACCATGAGCTACGAGGTATTCACGGGCTTTGGCAAACCCCGTGGAATCATTGCAAGCTGCGCTCATTCAAATGAGCTCCCATAATGTGGACAAAATGCCAAGTGGAGATTGCGTGCTGGGACGCTGTTTGAGTGGTCAACTGGCTGACAAATGAGCGGCAAATTAAATTATAATTACAGGGAATCGGAAACTGGTGAGATGTTTGAGTGCAGTGGGGTCAGGCAGTGAAGGCACCACATGTGCATCCAACCCAATTCCCAAATCGATTAGCTTAGTCAAATTTCGTAGGCGATTAATGCAATTAGATAAGATAATATACGAGTGTATAGCAAATCAATTCATAACGCTATGTTGCACCCAATCAAAAGGCAATTTTTGAAGAACCTCATTACCTGTTAGCTCTAAGGATGAGCACGACTTACCGGATGTTGGTCACCGTAATGTTGCTCACACCGTAGGCCTGAATGTTCCGGAAAAGTGCGCGGTAGCCATCTGGACCACTGCCCAGAACAATGCCGATTTCATCAATCATCACGGGCTCGATCTGTTGGGGGAAATGATTTACTGGGCAATCTGAGTAAATACCCTAAGAAGTGAGCTATGTGCTATTGAAGATCCAAGCTATCGGATTTATAGGGTAACGATATAACAACGCTTACTTCTATTTGATCTTAGTATAATATTCTCAACATGGAGCGACGTGTTTTCTGAAGTCCTAATATATGTTTAGCTCACCTCATGGATGTCCAGCTCCGGAACTCCCTTCTGCAGGTAGCTCACCAGCTTGTTGCCACTATCCCGAAGGCAGTCGTTGATCTGGGCCTCGTCCCGGGGGCATTGTTGCAGGTAGTAGGCTGGAAAGGTCATTTCGAGGGGTGAGACAATGGGTGGCATTGGGTGCGAATGCAGTGGTCTGTAGATGTCATGTTCGCCTGTTCGTGGATGTCATTGTCTCTCCGCCGCCGCCGCCGCTTTCTATGAAAATGAAGATGCGCCCCCTCCCGTAATTGCGATTCCCAGGTGAATGCGTCAGTTGACGTGGGTTCAAGTACACAATTACCTCGCCGATCTCACAGCGATTGTTGCGAACATGTTCGGGCTGAACTATAAATTGCTGGGATGCGCTGGGGTGGGACAAAACTGGCGATGGATTTATGGCCAGGTTAATGGTCGTAGTTGCGGCGGGCAGGGAGTGTGTGAAAACTAATAATAATTGCGGGTTTCGGGGAAGACTTCCCAAACTTTGATATTATGTACGTACACACGTATGTATGAAAGTTTCTCAGAAATTGTAATAAAAACGGCGGACTTTGGAAGTAGATTTTTAGGAGCCTAGCCGGCAAAGTACCAGATCAAGGTCAGTCCAATCCAGCGGAATCTTTATGGAACCGGGCAAGCGACTGCCAAGCCAGAACTATAAACCGAGGTTATCGTGGCCATTACTGGCCATTCTGGAACCTACTCGACGAGATCCGGCACAAGTCGACTTTCTTTGTTGCCGGGGCACGTCTTGGGGGTGGGCAATTAGCCAGTGCCAAATGCATGGGCCATGTGGGCCATTTGGGCCAAGTTGGTCGGTGGACGTGTCTAAGGACCGGCTGGAAAGTCAAAGTCGGCGCTGCGCCTGATGTAACTTAGAAAGCGCGGCCAAATAGGCATCACTTATGACACTGTTTGATCACTACTTACGCTGCTCCTGGCCAAAAGTGGCGCCCAACACGGCGACGAGCACAATGAAGCCAATATTTCCGCACATTTTTCGGTTCGTCTGCATGAAAGTACAAGTAAATGGAACTGGGCTTTAGATGGGCGCTTCGCTTTTGTGTTTCACTTTTCTAGTTTCGTAACTGATTAGCACGTTTGGGCTGCTCTCTGCAGCTTATGGACATGGATATGGATATGCATATGCTAATTTCGCCTAGATGACGCACCACGCGCTCTTTACGAGGGAAAGTGAAAAAGTCGGGATAGAATTCAAAGAAGTGCGGGCTCTGGTTGGGTTTCACTTTAGTGCCGAAATTCTTCTCTTTGGCTTCCGGGTGGAAGTGGGTCAAGCGCCCAGTCCCCAACCAGTTCACTGTTTGTTCTTGAATAAAGAATCCGACTGCTGCCTTCTGCTGTCTTTTGCTTTCTTCGCTCTACGCTTACTTTGCGTCCAACTTTCACGCGACTCGGCTGAGGAATGAGCTCGGGCTGCGTTGGTCCAAGCCATTTTAACCAGCAAGAAGCTCGAAAGCGCCGGCGAAAATGCAGCGAAAGAGCTGGCGAAGGGAAACCGAGCAAAAGGCCTTCTTGCCACACCCCAGAAGTCGGTGGGGCAGACAGTCAGTCGGCGCTGTCATCGATGTACGCTGCAAAATCTTTGGAGCTTTAGCTTCAGGTAACCCGTATGAAATAAATATTAGCCATCAGAGTCTGGATTTAGGTCTGAAAGATATTCTATCTACCCTAAGGTAGGGCAAGGTCTACTTGAAAGGATTGGATCGCTTTTGTAGAGCACTTCTGGATGTTCTGGATCACTAGAAACGAACCATGGCTATGTATATAATATCTTACTATACCCTTAAGCAAACTACGGATGATTGCGATTTTTCTCTGTGTACATTTTGCTGAAGGTTAAGTGTAAAGGTTCCCTGACTCGGAGCCCAACCTCCCACAGCCGCGATTGCAGCCTGGTAATGAGGCTGTCATGAATCATGCGAGCGACTTGCCATCATTAGCGGTTCTCCAAGCCGGGATTAGCCCAGTATTGCGCTGTATCTCTTTCGTGCCTGCTGCCTTCCAGCCCTTTGTGGGCCGCACTTCCACTTGTGGCATAAAGGTCAAGCCGTGCGATTAGAACCACGAGCTCTCCAAGAGTCGAGTGGTAAGGCGGTAATGGGCACTCATCCCTCTATTCAGCCTGCAGATAACAAAACCTGAGCCAGTCATACAGTGTGTTAACCCTAATAATCCAGTATCGTTTCTTTGCTCAGCGCGTCGAGGTATTGATGGTGTGGAGACATTCCCCGAAACAAAATGCAATTGTCTTTCAAAACTTTTCGGGGATCTTTATGGAGAGTTGGGAACAATTCCGATCATTGACCATTGTCTGTTTTGCATTTAAATTGAAAGCTGGAGGTGGAAGTTCTCGTGATCCGTGAGGGCGTGAACAAATAAGAAGTTGAATATGATAGTGTGCTTAAACCATTTAGAGGTTATTAAGCTAAACTTAGTTTTCATATTGATCTATAAATTCTGGTATCTTATAAATAAAAAAGATTTTAATTTTATGTGCTAAACCTTTTCGAAAAAACCTTTTCTTTCAAAAATGTGCGATCAACTAATTTAAATGTAGATAATTATCTACTGGAAGAGTAGTTGACACGAAGTATTTTACGCCGCGTAATAAAGCCTATTGATGAAAAGGAGCTGTATCGTTTTTGTATACAATATATTATATTGTAATAATATTATAGTTTAATAGTTTTATGCCAACATCGAGCACCGTAAGTAATAGTTTCTTCCTCAACAGAATTATGCACTTATAATGACATTAAAAAAAGTTCAGAGATTTGTTCAGTCCTTACGTTGCCACACTGATTTTAAAATTTTGTTTTCTTCTGTAATCTTCAGAGACAAGGTTACAGGTTTTGTAAAGTAACACAGACATTTAAATAACATTGATTTTTGATCAAAGTAAATACAACGCAAAAAAAAAGACTCAAGCACAGAAATGTCCATAAACGTGAACAGTGGTGGTAGTATACCAACTTAGTCCGCCCTTTACTGTGTGTCTGGCGCCTAAAAGTATGCCGTGCGAAATGAGTTGTTTGAAAGAATAAGAATTTGTCTTAATTTACACATTTTACACTAGGTAGTTTGTATACTCAAAAGTTAGGCCGTTCAAAATATAGGAGATGTATATGATTGGCTAATATTTCTAGAGAACTAGTTTGCACACACTGCTCGCTACAATAAGGTACAAGAATACAATATTCCAGATTTCTTTTCAATATTATTCACCGTTAAAACGAAACTGGCCTCGTCAAGAATTTTATATAAACTAAAATAATTGTATTCCGTATTTATCTTAATCGTGTTTTTTGTTTAGCGCAAAGTAAGAATGTGTCATACCAAAATTGTCAGGAAACTGTTGCGTAATTCTATCATAACATACAAATATAAAAGCGAATCATCATAATATATCGGTAATACAATCAGCTTATAGTTCAAGAAAGCAGGGTAGATCCAGCACAGCAGACCCCACCAGCTGCCCAGCTCCACTGGGCTGCGTGTGGAGATTCGCACTCAAGGTCAAGGTCAAGGTGGAGTGGTGACTGGGTCACCGCCAAGCGAAAACCACTCGACTGTGAATGCAGTCGCAAGAGTTGGTGAGCTGATGAGTCTGATCCCTCTGCTCTGGTCGGTTGAATGACACGTTTCTGGGTCACAAGGAAGCTGGAGTCCAGCGAATTTAATCAGGTGCGAATTGAAAGTGGTTCCGAGTCGAGTATGGAAGTGTCTGGGATAACTGGTTTGCTAATGGATTGCCTTGATTTAAATTCCCGAAAAGTGTATTTATTATAGAAGATCTAGATAGTGGAATTTGCCATGGATTTTGGTGGCATCTTCTGTGCTCACGCTTACACTTCACTATATATGCTTGGTCACTGGGATAATTAAGGCAAACCTATAGCCACGTGGAATAATTAGTGAGGCAATGAGACTTCGAATGTATTTTTCATCCGCCTTTTCGCATTTCACTAAGCGCTGTCATTATTCTCAGCCGTCTTTTGTGAAGACACATTTACAGATTGAGATGTATTTATAACCTCATCTACCCGCATTCATAGACGTGACAACGGGCTTTAGAATCGGCGCATAGGCCTTTGTATGACAAATAAGAGTTCCCATCGAGTTCCCCGATACTTCCCCATTACTCTATTTGTTTGTGTTCAGGGCCATTGTAAACAGTTTAAGAGTTCAGTATGTTCCGATCACAGTGCAAAGTGTGGTGCCATAGTTCTCCGCAAAACAAAGTACCTGGCACACAGAGAAAAAATGTGGATGAGCTCGGAAACCACTCACACTACACCGAAGCTGTACTGCTGAGTGCGAGCTGGTTGCTCTTCCTGGTGAACTTTCGATGGAATCCCATCCAGACTGGTTATCAAGAACCCAGTAGATCTATGCTGGAACCCGTTCAGTTGGGTGGTTCATTAATAATTCATATTAGGCGCGAGGAAAGTGTTCCGATGACAACAGGTAAAAGTATTTTTAGTTCCCCATCTGAACTATGCATTTAAGCCCACTGCTTAAATACATTTAAATCCATGCGATCACTGCCAGCTGAGTAAGGCAGGTAGACAGCCAATCACTTTGGATATGAGTTGAATCGGCGGACATGAAAGAATTCTGGTTGAAAGAAGCCCGTGTTTAGCGCTTATGATTATTCTCGCGCGACATTAGTTCTCAAAAATGTGCTATCTGATTTCTGTGCTCACCGTATAAGCACATAACTATTATCTCACTCCAATGGACAATTAAGGCGCCGCACATTTTTAATTAGAGGCGGAGACATTTCGACGAAAACAAGTATCGCTCACTTGCCAGCTCGCCTCGTTACGGTTTTAAGAAGACTCGAGTTCGATGTATCCCAAGGTTTTTGGAATGAAAGGAAGTGCGCGCTGGATGCGTGCACTCAAAGTGCTGTATCTTAAAGACAAATAAGTTTGTGCCGCGGCTATTTTGTTGTCCAATGGGTTCTGCTCACTGGTAATTAGAAGTTATAAATTTCTTTCGCAAACCACAATGAAGATTCCTGTGCAGTTTAGGCCCAGCGATCGTTTCTGAGCAAGTGATTGCGAAAATAGAGTTGCCTAATTGCTTTATGCCGCTCGAGAAGTGGGCAAACAAACCAAAATCTTGCACAGAAGTCAAGAAGTCAGGCGCCTAGAGGCAGCATTGCATTCGGGCAGTCAGTCACACATGCAGATACCAGCTGTATCTTTATATACGCAGATCGGCAGAGTCTAAGTTCTCTGCCGACGGCGACGACGGGATTGGAGATCGGCTTGGTTTGCATCTCGTTTCTGCGAGCTGCGATCAGCGATCTGCTATCTGCGATTTGCAGCTTTGGGGCTTTAAATCGGCTATCGACCGGCAGGCAGCTCGCAGTTTAAGTTCTCAGCTTCGCGTTGACGGACGTTCGAGCACTCCACCCGCAGAAAGTTGATAGCTTCAGTTTCCGACTCCGTTGCGTGTAGCTGCAGATTGAGATACATATTCCGGAAATTGCGGATTGCCCATGAGAGACATGAATAAGGCGGCGTTCCTCGTAATTGTGATCCAAGCGCTGTGGATAGTGCAGGCTGAGACCCGTAAGTTGCCTCCCTTAAGCGGTGGTGGTGAACATGATTAGTGGAAAAATATAGTGAGTCCGTTTGGCAATTAGTTTCCACTACTTAATAGTGCTGCGATGATTGTCCTGTCGATGGAAAGGAAACTTTGATTTATTGTTATTAGTTTGGAGATGAATGACTACGTTTTATCTAGCAAAGTGCAGTAAATCTTTCGAGGTAATGTAATGAGAAACGGAAAATAAATGAGGGAAATGATTACGAATTAGGCGAAGACTCGTATTTAAAAATGCAAATTGCAAGGTGAACTGAAATTTGCCCTCAGCTTTTTATATAATTCATGACCCATGGCTCATGAAATAAGCCGCCCGTGATATTTGGCCAACGTAACAGAAATTTGTGAATACCTCTTCCTCGAACTTTCTGCTTAGATTTGCGTGGACATTTTAAAGGGTCTCTATTTAAAGTGTATACTTGCCCAATTTATTGCTTGTGTTGAACTATTGAACCTAGCTGCAAGATTTTTGCCGGGCTTAGTTAGCAGTCAGCCTTAAAGTCATTCAGTAGAGTGGAATTCAAATCACATCATCTGGCAAATGTCAAATGTCAAGTTTGCCGCCTTCCCCATTCGAGGCACCCAACGAGGTGCTAATTGCGTGGGGCGACACGGTTTTGTTAGGCAAATGCAGAAGCAAAACAAGGAAAATCGGAATGGGGATGAGTCTCAGCCAAAGTTTGCTTCCGCATCGCACTCGAAGTGCTGAATACCCAA